AGTTTGTATCCTCAGCAGAGTGCTCGCACCCTGGGGCTCCTCCAGGCTGCTCATGGCCATCAGGGCACAACTGTCTGCACCTGCATGGGCTTGCTCCAGGTGCAGACAGATTTTGTAAGGCTGCCAGACCCTCATGGTGTGGATCATGCCACCGTGTGCTTGCTGGGAGCCCCAGTGGGATGCCCTGTCCTGCCCAGTGCCCCCGGGCAGGGGGAGCAGGGTCCTGCACAGGCAGTGGTGCTCATTTTGGGGCACTTCCACCACTGTCGCACTTGCCCAATGCAGCAGCACAAAAGCACAGTGCCCATCAGCACATCCCCCATCACCACATCCCACCAGTGTGACACATTAGGAAAACCTTCCTGGTAAACAGAAAAAACACGGAGAGCATGGCTGAGATTTTTAGGATATTTTAGCTCAGCTTCTCTCCGGTAAAAGCAATTCCCCCAGGAAGGGAGAGGAATAAACCAACCAATCTCCTGGGGGCTCTTCCAGTCCTGTTTTCTATGATCTACGATTTTCAACGATCGTTCTTCATCAGATTTACATGCAGGCACTCGCAGAGAGATAACAGAGGCTCTCCCTCCTGCCAGAACAGCAAAGCCTTTGTCTGCTCCAGAGGGACGCAATTCCACATCCATAAGCAAAGCCAGGAGATGGAGTGGCTGCATTCAGCCCAGTGCAATCAAATCATCAAGCTCTAAATAAATAATCAGATGAGTAACGGGAGCGCTGCCTATGCCCACCGCTCTCCCTGTCTGCTCGGGAAGTGCCGGGCAAACACCAATGAGGGAAACTGAGGCCCGATGCGTGAGGACCATGAGCATGGTGGAGGGGAAGGAGCCCTGGTGATGGATTCCCGATATCTGTTTGCAACTCATCTCAGTGGCTGTTACATGAGAAAAAGGGTTTGTTTCACAAAATGACCCTGGCAGTCCCGCTCTCCAGGCTGTGGGCTTGCACCATCCCCCTCCCTAGCTGGGCTCCCTCCCCAGCTGGGGCAGTGCCCAGCCAGGGGACTTTGCACCTGCTCACCAGGGATCTTCTCCTCTCCAGACTGTCCCGATGCGGCCTCCTGTGCTGCTGGGGTCTTCGCTCACAGGGATGAGGACGGACATGCTTGCTGAAGGAGAACTGCTGTGGGTGCCACCCCTGCTCTGGTCCATGCGTGGCCACGCTCAGCAGCAGCGTGGGTGGTGGCAGGGAAACCCTTCGGGCCACAGAGACATCATTCAATCCACTTCTGGGGAGCTTTGGTTGCATGGAGGACATCAGATGAACACAGATTTCTTATTAAAATTAATTTGCAAGGCCAGAATAGCTCCATCCCCTGCTTACACCTCTCCTTTCTCCTCCTGGCCCCTTTCCGTTAGCTCTCTCCGCAGCTCCTGCTTGTTTTGCATTGCATTGCTTATCACAGTCACAAACGAGCCAGAGCCTCCCTGAGACCCCACCCCGTGCTGGGCGTCCTTGTCACAGCTGGCTGCGGGCAGGGGCTGGCCGGGCCGTGGGAAAGGCAAGGGGTGGCTCTGGGAGAGCCCAGCGAGCCCCCAGCCCTGGAGGGGAGATCACAGCCACTCCCCGTCACACTCAGGAGTTGGGCGAGCACGAAGTGCCCTGTGCACAGAGCCCCATTGATGGGGAAAGGTTGCCCGAGGCCGGGAGGGTGACAGCTACAAGGGGCTTTTGTCCCGGGTGTGATGGGGATGGGGATATGCCATCGGTGCTGCCAGGTCTTTCTGTGCACCAGTGTGGGACGCCGGCGCTGTCCCGCTCTGGGACCACATCTCAGCCAGCAGCATCACGCTCCTGGGCTGCCATCAGCCCCTGGGAAAAGGGTGCTGGGGAGGGGGACACCCAGGCACGGTGGGGGGAAGGAGCTGGGGAAGCTATTGGGCAATTTGGGGAGCAGGGGGTATGGAGGCAAGCGGGATAAACCAGCCAGGAGCAGGTTTGGGCTGGAAATCCGGAGGGGATTATCACGGGCAGTGCAGGGGGCTGGGGAGGGGAGTGCTTTGCAAAGCTGCAGGCACATTGTGAGCCATTTGGCCGCTGCTGTTTTGGATGGAAACTAATCCTGCATTAGCTGGGGAGAGGTGGTGCTCCCACGTCCTGGCCACCAAACCAGGAGGATGGTTGGGGCCCCAAACTCAGGTGTTACCTCTGTCCCCGTGATGTTCCCTCTGCCCCATGCTGCCAGCATGGCTTTAATTGGGGTCCTCACACTCAGTGGTGTTGGGTATCTGAGAGCACGGAGGACTCCTGGCCAGTGCTGGTGGTGACACCTCTAGTTTTTTTGCAGAAGCAGCTGCCCAGGGTATCAAATTTGGAACAGAAAGGGAGGGCCCTGTGTGTCATGGAAGAGGCGGTTTAACAGGGGATGTCAGTGAGCAAAATCCTGCAGGGCAGGGAGAGACTGGATGCCAAAACCTAATGGAGAAAACAAGAGGCTGAGACACGCTGGAGCATGCTTGGAGGCTGAGGAGAGCTGGCGCTCAGTGAGCATGGGAGGCTTTCCTCGCTCCGAGGGCGATGACCGACTTGAGTGGCTCACTGCTGGCGGCAGCCTCAGATGCAGCTGCAAACGTGTCCAGGAACAAGCTGGGAAAGGGCTTTTGTAAGCCTTCAAGTCATGTTAATCGCCCTGGCTGTGAGCCCCTGGATGACACCCTGTGGGGCCGGGGGTGCTGAGGAGCCCCTTGGCTTGGGGGAGCGGAGCTGCTCCTGCAGTGCCAGTCCTGCCTCCCAAGGGATGCATGCAGGTGAGTGCTGCACCTGGGGATGCTCGGGCAGCTTCGGACCGGAGCCGGAGCTGGAAACCCTCCCTGGGGCAAGTGCAGCAGCGGCCCATGTTGCTGCTGGACTCTGGGACCAGGTCCAACTCCTTGTTTGAGTGCACTACCAAATCACAGGGTGCCGGAGGCTCTGGCAGAGCGAGGAGATGCCCGTCCTGCAGGCGAGGGGCTGGATGCTGCTGGGTGCTGCGGGCTCCCTGCCAGGCACGAGTGGGCTGCAGTGTTCACCTGTTTCAGCAAAATCTGGGCTGCCAGGAAGATTAATTATATCTTTAAGTTTCTTCAGTCGTCAAATCTTGTAACTATCATCTCAAGCTGACAGTTATATACCTAGCAATTAACTGGCAGCGAGGGTTTGCAGGCAGCAGGGGGGTCTGGCCTTGTTTCCTGACTATGTACACAACACGGTCTCAAAATGTTGCCTTAATGGAGCTTAACAGTGCTGGCAAATATTTCACTCAGAAATCTCGCATTTGCCGACATGTTGCACCAACTAACACCGAATCAATCAGGGCTCCAATAACAAAGGCTCTTCGTTAGGAGGCATGCGCAGATTTGTGCCTTCTTCCCTCCACAGACACCCTCTTAGGCATCCACAGGCTGGTGCAAAGCAGGAGGAAAAGCCGCTTGATCACCATCCTTTTCCGTTGCTGTTGCTTCCTCTGATGCTCAGCAGCAGGTACAGACCTGTCCCAGTGAGCGTGGGAAGCAGGGCATCGGTCAGGAAAGCCTTTCACCGATGGGACTGTCCTGTTGGCCCCTGCAAAAAATCCCGCAGGTGGATTCAGCAGCAAGAGGGGTTTGCTGTGCGGTGAGATGCTGTCACAGGAATAGCCAGTACCCTCCTTAGGATGGATTCCCCTTGAGAGGTAGCGCTACCAAAAAAAGGGCTCCTGGATTACCCACTGCCCTCAACTTCAATTTTTTGCCTTGAATGACCACGTTTTAAGATCTCTCCCTGCACCACAGTGTGTTTTACACAGGCTGGGGTGGGTGGCCCCTACGCCAGGCTCACAGGGCAGAATATTCACCTTGCTTCCGCAGCAAGATTTCACATTGGCTTTGCCATACGCTGGCTCTGACCCATGCCAGCACAAACACCGGCTGCCCTGTGATAGCCACCCCCTGTGTGATGCTGAAAGGGAATTTCCTTTGCGTTGCTACGGCACAAGAGGCAGGCAGGGGTTATTTGGCCATCCAGCAGTCAGTAGCATCAGGGCTCTTGGGGAGGAACCAAAGTTTTCTGGAGGTGCAGGTGACCACAGGACTCCTATTTTCGTGCTCTCGGCTGCTGAGCTCACCTTCTGCGAGGACCAAGGGTGGAGGTCTTGTGTCATTGAGGTTGGCAGCAAAAGACGTGTCAGTCCCAGGGGAGTCAACGCCTCTTGCTGAGGCCATCTTTAAAAGGTTACCAAAACCTCCGTGCCCATGGTTTCAGACTCTGGGAGGGACGCCAGTATGGAGCTCACAGCGGTGGACACTTGGCATGCTGGAAAGAAGGAAAACGCAGAGAAGAGAGATCGTTCTCCTTCCCTCCAGCTGCTGGTGGCTGAAGTGCTCAGGTGAGTGCTGCGAGCAACGGGTGGGTTAGACGACATGTGAAGATCAAAGGAGGATCTCCAGGGCACCCGGCGAATGTGTCTCATCACATCGCCCGCGGACATCCAGAAACACCGCCTGGAAGCATCTACCTGAGCTACATCTATACTTGCCAAGTGGAGATACCTATAAGACAGCTCTACGGTACCCCCCCGAGCACGGGCGGGAGCGTGGAAAATATTTGTTGGGAATATCGCTATGTTTGGGGATGGTTTGTACCTTCAAGAATTCAGCTAGAAATAATTGACAGGATGATTTGCAGCCATTGCCAAACAACGTTACTTTCTCGAAAGCAGCAGCACCAGAGGGAAAACAAATTGAAGCAGGTGTGGGAAGAGTTAGGAAGTGCAAGAATTGCATTCCTGAGCCAAATGGACAGATTGAGACAGAGGAAAACAAATTGGGAAGGGAAATGGCTGCCTATTGCCCAGATTTTTCAGGCGCTGGGAGGAGGTGGAGGTTGGGTTCAGGCTCTGTTTCGGGGCCTGGGAGCAGTGTGTCCATTTGAGCAGCTGTGTTAGTGCTCAGCCTGGGGTGAGGGTGGGTTTTTGGGGTGTGTTTCCACCCTGAGCAGGGCTGGGCATCGCAGGTTTGGGGAGCAGCATCCTACAGAAGCACGAGCCCCACCACCGCGATGACCATGAGGAGCCCGGCCAGGATGCAGATGCTGATGAAGACGATGTCGCTGGTGTCCTGGCTCTTGATTTCGTGGGCATCCATTGCTTCCCTGTCCCGCTGTTGGGCATCTACCAGGTTTTCTGCCTGGCTGAGCCTGGACGGGTCAGGGCCGGCGATGAGGGTCACCGAGGCTTCCTTCCTCTTTGGCTCACACTGCACCTCGTACTGGTGGATGTCCTCCTGGTTGCCCACCGAAAAATCGATGTAGAGGGTGCTGACAATGACGGATGTGTTGTTGCGTTTCTGCAAGACAAGGGTCGTGGCTCATCGGGGATTTGTGGAGCTCATTTTCACAGGGGTTTGGAGGGCAGTTGGCCATGAATCAGACCAGCATCTACTGAGAAGATGGGAGAGGGACTGGGAACTCCTCTCTGCAGCCGGTACGACCGGCACGGGGCTAACCATCTACTCAGCTTGCTTTAAACGCAGGTTTGCCGACTGCTTACCTGGGATTCGGTGCTGCAGGTGTCGAACCTGGTGTGTATTTTAAAGTTCCCACCAACCACCTGGGCTGCACAGGAGGGGGTCCCCAAATAAATCCTATTCCTCTCCAGCTGGGCCAGGGACTGCACGGGGATCCGGATGTGGAATTCTGTCCGGGTGCAGCTGACGTTCATGGGCACAACTGTTGGGACAGAAAACAAGGTACATGTGAAGGTTCGTCGGGAGGGGATTTCCTCAGGCTGCAGTGACTGCAGTAGCTCAGTGCAGAGCCACAGCCATTTTCAAAGCTTGCTGTCCTCATCACACATGAAGCAGGCGACTGACAGCAGCAGGAGTAGCAGGGACATTGGCCTCGTGAGTTTGCCATGCATCTCGCAGTACCTGGCGTTGCTGCCACAGGACTCACGTGATGAGATGAGTTTTCTGGTGAAAAGAAGCTACACACGAAATGCAGAAAGCATTATTTTATATATCAATATTTTAGCCCTCCCCCATGTTGAGGTCAGATGTGGTTGGCTCCCAGGCACTGTCCTGCTTTCTGCCCTGGGGAGAGACACAACCACCAACCCTCTCAAACCCCGTCCTCCTTCCCAGCTCTCCGAGTGACAACCGAGTGCCACTGCGGGCAACACCATCATGCTGTCACTGCCATTAGCAAGGAAGGATTTACCCTGTGAGAGCAGCCGCTCTCCATCATTGCAAAGCCAAAAAAACATTTGAGTTGCTGCCCAGGATTAGACCATGAGAGCTTTGCTGATGGCTTGCCATAGGCACAGAGCTCCCCTACACACTACAACACCCCTGCGAGAGAGATTCTTACAGTGATGAAAGGGAGGAGATGCATCTTGGGGGGGATCCCGTGCCTGCCTGCCCTGGAGTGATGCAGCTGCGCAGCTGCTACCTGGTCCCTGGGGAAGGGTGAGCCAGCTGCCCGGCCCCGGGGCATCCTCCTGGGGATGGCCCAGCCCAGGACCTGTCCCAAGATCATCAGCCCTCCACCACCCCCAGAATGTTATTTTTGATGGGCAGCTGCTGAACAGTGCATGGAGGGAGCTGCTGTTGAGCTGCCCGTGATGCCAAGAAGAGGAGTGGAGCAATGGGGAACCCAGCCCCTCTCCGTCACTCTCTCTCTGGCACTGTATTTGGCCCCTCTGGATCCAGAAAGCATCCATGCAGGGAAAGGAGCAGGGAGAAAAATGCCCCCCTCTTTAAAGTTAATCCTCGCTCAGCTTGAACCAACCACTTGGGCAGTATGAATTATTGAATTATTCCAGCTCTCTCTGAATCTTGGCCTTATGAAACTGGTAAGACGCAATAAAATCAATACGAAAAAATAGTGTCACTTTGCTTCACTTAGTGCATTATAAAACCATTAGAAGATTTACCAAATAACTAAAGTGCATTAGATCAAGAGGAGGAGGAGGAGAAAATGGATCCTTTCTCCTGGCGTGAAGGCTTTCTTTCAAATGGCCATAAATCACACACACCCAGCCCAAGTCACATCCTTTCGTGGGCTCGAAAGGAAAACATCTGCATGGCTGAAGAGCTGTGGGTGTGGAGGCTGAGGTGCCCCTTTGCCACCGAGGGCTCCCGAGGAAGCCGGCGGCAGGGAGAGGCTGGTGCCTCCTGGTGAGGGCAGCCACTCTCCTGGCAGAGCGCTGGCGGTTGGATGTGCCACGCAGGCTGCTGACTGCAAGCAGATGCCCAAATCATCGGGCGAACATAGCAGGCAGCCTTAGCTTTACGGAGGGAGGCTCGGTTTCACGTCCAAGCTTTTGTTCTCCCCCAACATGCACCCGGCAGCATGTACTGGGGGATGCAGGAGCCTCGGGCAGCTGGGAGAAGTCACATCCCTCTCCGTGACAGGGCTTCCCCCGGCTCTTTAGCTAGCATCCCATCTATCTGTCTGCAAGCTGCTCCATTGGGAATGGGGTTTCTCCATGACCAGACATAGTGAGGCCAAGATTTCTCTCCCTGCACACTGCTGTTAAAGACTAAGAAATAAGCAGGACAAGGACCGGGACAGACCTGCTGTGCACACTAAAGCCCTACTGGATGTCCAGTACAACCTCTCTCCCTCCAGAGGCTGCAGAGGCTCAGGACAAAACTCCATCCCATCTCTTACTCCTAGAGCCACATACCCCCAGATCCCTTCTGCTACACTGGAAATGAAGAACGATTTTGCTGCTGAGGGATAAAAGCTCATAAACCCAGGGCCAGCCACCCCCAGCTCCTGTGCCGCTGGTCCAGCAGCCCTGCTCCATCTCCAGCCTGCCGGCGAGGCTGCCCCTGTCTGAATCATCCCTGACACACAGGTCAGCTCAGATGCAATTATCTTGAAATACAACGAACGCCATAAATTTGCTAGCTTTTGAGGTGCAAGGTTGGCAAATACATCAGGAAGGTTACACGCCGCTCCTCCCACCAGCTGCGGATGCACTGGCTGGGACACAGGGCATGCCAGCGGCGGGGAGGTGCCGGACAGGGCTGGCTGGGCAGATTTGGGAGCACCGTGCCCCGGGGGTCCTGCCCCTCCGGTGCTGCTGCCAGTGGAGGAGAGGACGTGGTTTATGTCTGCCTGCTCAGCTGTGTGCCGGCAGGGCCAGAGCATTCTGGGGAGCAGGGAACAGGGTTGTGATGCTTGAGCTGGTCACCTCCCTTGGGGCTTTGGTCCCCTAAACCCCCCCTGGATTTTCTTTCCTTCATGCCCTGAGAGAGGAGCAGGAGCATGGCAGCGGCAGCGACGTGGGGAGGAGAAGCTGGACAGCATCTCCTGAATACTAAACACCTAAACACCACATGGAGCATGTGCGTCGCACTCTGCAAGAGCTGGAGCTCACCCGCCACCTCTTCTCCACCCCATCCCTAAAAAGCCACGTGCTCTGCTCCTGCAGACAGGTATCTTCACCGCACAGTCCTTCCAGAAATTACCTGGTCTCGGGCATGTCCTGACGGAAATAAAGCATTGAGGAGCACCCGAGTGAGACCTTACCTCCCACGTAGGCGATGGAGAAGCCCCTCTTGGCCGTGTTGCGGTCGGTGTGGAGGACCAGCAGCAGCTGGTTGCTGCGGGAGGGGATGGGCGCCAGGCTCTCCCGCCCGCACCACCGCCCCAGCAGGGACCCGTTCTCAGCGCCACCATCGAAGGCGGCCAGGTGGTCATAGTCACAGCTGCCTGTCAGGCTGCTCCGGCCCTCCAGCTCCATGTCCAAGAAGAAGACCTTGACCCGGTAGCGCAGGGGCAGCCGGATGCTCCACTGGCACTTGAGGTTGTTGGGGTAGAAGTTGGGGTACCGAGGGCTGGAGAGATTCCCTTTGATGGTGGTGAACACCTCCTGGCACTCGCCTGCTCGGGGAACGAAGGGAAAGGAAAAAATTAAAGCAAACCTGAAGCCCCCTGGGCGTGGATGAGCTGGCAGATGAGCGATCACTTGTTTTATTGCTAAAGCATGCTCTGCCCTGCACCTCACTGCTCCCAGCCTTGCGTTTGGCGGATGGACATCCATCAGTTTTGGGGGATGGCAATGCCCAAGGTGGCCAAAGCCCTACAAGGGCAGACGGGGAAAACCCATATCCACAGGGAATGGCATGAGCAAGGGAGAAGGGCGGCTCATGCTCAAGAGGAAGACAACCCGGGGCCTGGGAGAGCCACAATGATGCCATTTTCATTGTGTGGTGGTTTACACTTCACATGATCATCTCATGAGCTCTCCCCAAAGGGTTCCCCTCCACTATCTTCTCCTCTTGCTGCTGCAGGAGGGACAGCATCACCACCACCACCTTGGGGACCCATCCCCACATCCTTCCCACCACCCCACCACTCTGACAACGGTGCGAGGTGGGCGGGCGCTGCCGCAGTAGCGTCCCAGGCGGGGGGCAGCAGTGGTGGGGCCATCGAAAAGGGCCACGTAGTCGAAGGTGCAGCCCTGGCCCCCCTCCACCTGGAAGTCGGTGAACACCAGTGTGAGGGGGCCGCCAGCCCCCCCGATGCTCCAGCGGCACTCGGCTTCGTTGGGGTAGCTCTCGGGGTAGCGGGGGCTGGTGATCTCCCCGGACAGTCCTGTCAGCTGCCCACCACAGGCATCTGTGGGAAGGCACAGATGATGAGGATGGTGGGGGAGGACAGATGGATGGATGCTCCATCACTGCCATCCCTCCCCACTACCTTTCTGGTAGGCAGCGGCAAAGCCGCGCTTGGCCACATGCCGGTCGGAGCGGAAGACGATGGCCATGACGTGCCAGGCGGAGGAGAAGGGTGGCGGGGGGCTGTGGCCGCAGAAGGTGCCCAGGAGGTTGCCCTGATCCCGGGCAGCCCCGTTGTAGACCTGGAGGTAGTCGTAGGCACAGGCGGCGTGGTACTCCAACTCGAAGTGGCTGAAGGAGAGCAGGACGGAGGAGCCCTCGGCCACCACGATCAGCCACGTGCACTCTGTCTCGTAGGGGTACAGCCCCGGGAAGTTGGGGCTGGAGAAATTGCCAGAGGGTGCTGAAAGCACCCCCCCGCATTTGATGCCTGGGGGACACAGAGGTGGATGTGATGTCCCCTTTCCAGGGGAAGCCTCAAAGGATGGAGACAGCGTGCACAGCACCAGCTCCATCCCACCACTGGCACTACTGAAACACCAGTGCCCTGCAGACCCCCATTGGGCTTGGCCACCCCTTCTCCCTGGAGGACACATGTCACCCCATCACCTGTCATCCCTCCACGTAACCCCCTTCTCCCCCCGCTGCCCCCGTGCTGTCCCATGGCGTGGCTGCAGCAGGGCTCGGCCGTGTCTGTGAGTTTGTCCTGCCAGTGACGGCACGGTGTCCCCATCCATTTCTTGCTGGGAAAAAGAAAGTAGGGACTGAGTTTTAATTGTTCAGTGGTTCCAGCCTCGCCGGTGCCCCGGCTGCCCAGCCCTTCAGCTTTGTGCCTCCTGCTGATGACGCTCCCTCTATACAATGGTCGTATCGGTGAATTCAAGCTGGAAGAAATAGGGTTGAAGGGCTCGATGCACTTAACAATGAGTTATGCATGTAGGGATCGATTTTCTAATGAAATCTTTATACTGAGACATGGTTATTATAAAATAAGGCGGAGAGGGGGGGCGGCTGCCACCTGCCCCTGGGTCTGATTAGGGTTGGGGTGAAAAGGCTGATACAGCGGGCACATACATCATGTCTGGGAGGGACGCAGACCCTGTGTACCCCCCGGGAGACATATGTGGGTTCCCAAGCAAGGCTGGGCGCTCGCTGCCATCAATCTGGGCCAAGCATATTGCAAATCAATAGTCAGCCAGCGCGCATTGCTTTTCATCACGCTCACTGGTGCAGTGACCCCCTGGCGAGGGGGGGCGTTCCTGCGGATGTGTGCGATGCAGCACCACGGCAAATGGGTAAGGGGGGGGCTGTATGTGTGTGTGTGTGTTGGCACAAGCAGCAAAGCTGGCCAGATCTAAAATCGCCTTGCTAATTACTGGGGATAGGCAATAAAGTAATATGGGGCTGGTACTAAAGGAATAATGTTATTGAAATAAATATCCAAGAGGGGAGCCTGCAGGAGGGGCGAGAAGCCACGGGGCAGGCAGATTGATGGATTAAGGGCTGGGTGCCTCGGGGTGCTCCGGGAAGGCCAGGTGGGTGCAGGCAGGGGGGTGAGCAGGCAGCACCAGGCAGCGGGGTGGCCGCTTGCCCCTCAGGAGCACCAGCACCGAGGCTGGGATGAATTTTGATTTCTGACGCAGCCCTTTTGTGAGAAAGGCCCTGCTGTTTTCGGGGAGAGGTATTGCTCGTTAGCCGAGTTACTGGGCTGACCTGGCCCACCCTGCCCCCCAAATTACTGTGTTGTCTGCTAACCCTGCCCTACGTCCTGGGGAGCATCTTATCCAGGTAAGGTGAGGGGTTTATTACATGCACAGAAATATACACATGCATACATACATTGACATATATATGTATATGTGTGTGCATATATATATTTATATAGGCATGTGTGACTCCAGAAGTTAACAAAGGCTTCAGCAAAGCACCTGGACACCACAACAGGACAACCCCTACCTGCAATCTTCAGTAAAATAAGCATGAAGTGGAAACTCAAGCGTGTGGTGGTGTCCCGCCCTTGCTGCCATGCACGGCAACTGCAGATCCCAGCTTCTTTCCCCAGACCAAGCTGGGGGACCCCTGGCCTGAGCAAGCCGCTCTCCTTGCGCGGGCTGAGAGCTGGGACCCACTCGCACCCCAGAGCCACTGCAGCACCCACAAACAGCCCCCTCCTCCTCAGGGACCATGGATGTCCATCGGCCCCGGGGTCGCCACTGGGAGCTGGGACTGGGCTCTTACCTCTGCTGGGAGCATCCCCGAAAGCCCCACACAGCACAGCCAGCGCTGCCAGGCAGCCCGCCCCCATGCACCCCATCCTCCGGCAGGCAAATCTCCCCTCACTGGCATCCAAGCATCTTTTTGAAGCTGTCTATCTGGTAGGAAAAAAAACAAATAAAGAGAGAAATAAATAAAAAGTGGGAGGACTGTAGAATTAATAGCAGAATGAATAATTCATTGCTTGTTTGAATTAAGAGCGGCAAGGTAACTTGATCTATTCCTCCCTTCCTTCACTCAGTTTTAATGATCTGGATCAAATGTCCCAAGGATTTACACTATACCAGATACTTTGTCAATACACTATATTTAGAAGAGATATTAATGTTTCAGATATGGTGTATAATGGCAGTAAGTCTGGGATGACAATATGCCCTTAAGGGTCTATGAAAATAATTTAGTTTGCCAGGCAAGCCAGTGAACCAAAATGGGAATTTCAGACTTACCGCGGAAAAGCACCTCAGGAATTAACGTGATTTATACTGCGGCACCCACTGCACAAAGCCAACCCGTGGTAAAGGCTAGAGAAACAAGGAACGGGATTTAAACACAGCTGCGTCTCCACGTCGGCTGCCAGGTCAGCATCCCTGCAGCGAGTGCCCAGGCTCAGCGGGATGCTCAGCCCGGGAAAGTGGCAGTCGCAAGCACTAAAGATAGCAAATCCCACCTCCCCCGAGGAAGATTAGAGATGAATTGTGACTCACGGGCAAAAAACATCGATTATTATAGAACCTGCTAAGGCCTTGGAGAATTACCATGTTCTTCCACGCCGGCTCACGCTCCTTCTCGCCCAGGCTCTTGGATGCACTTAGCTGAAGGTAATCAAGCCTTTGCGTTCGGTGGGAAAGGTGTGCTCCTCATGCTGTGCCACATTAGCTGGAGAAACCCCAAACCCAGCAGCGTTTCAGTTCTTTCCCTCCTGCCCAGAAGAGAAAAGACTTTCCTGCTGCCATAACCCACACCCAGATGAATGCCAGGAAAGAAAAACCCATGAGGGCCTCCCGGCATGAGGGACCTGTGCTAAAAAAGTCACCTTCAAAGCAGTGGGGAAAGAAGCAGCGTGTATCTGTAAATTTCAGGCGGGGATACAAGTTGTATTTATTAATTAAGCAATGAGGATCGATGCCTGAGACATTTCCTGTGGATTAATGATGGGCTGGGAGGAGCTGATGGCCCGAGGTGCGGCTAAGGACCATTAACACCAACTGGTCATTAATCCCCAGGAAATGCACCATGCCAAGGTTGTTAAGTGCCTGCATATATTTATGGGTAATAATAATAACAATAATATTTGTACAGGCTCTCTCCCCACTGCCGGGCCTCGCTGGAGCCATGCCGAGGGCCGGTGGGAGCTTTGGGGCATCCTAGCCAGGAGCCCTCCGTCCCGAGCCCAGCTGAGGTGGGGGACATCGGGGTGTCTGTCCCGGGGCATTGGGCACCACGTCACCCCACGAGCACCAGGAGTAAGTGCATGTTCGAACGAGGAGATGCAAGGCAGCCCTCCCTGTCCCAGGGTGCAGCGCAAAGCTCCCGCTCTGGTGCAGGCTCTGGGAGATGGCTCTGACGCTGGCACATCTCCTAGTGACATCTCAGGGACACTGCAGAGCTTAATTAGCTGCTTTGTTAACGGGCTTGGAGAGGAGGTCTGTCCCTGAGCCTCGTACAACACATGCGGGGCCAGCACCCACAGCAAAGAGGCAGGAGAGGTCTGGCACCACAGCCTGTGGTGCAGGGGCCTCTCCTGGGTATTTCCACACCACAGCCCCAGCTCAGCCAGGAGTGCTCAGCCCTCCCTGCCATGATCCCCCGGTCTCAGGGACAATGTGCTCCCCGACTTCTCCATCGCTGCACAACAGAGCAACACGTTCATCCTTGCCGGACCTGTCTCCGGCAATACCCACCATCCACCAGCCCTTCCACTGCCAGCCTCAGCGCTGAGGCACCTCCCAGCACGGAGCCAGTCTCCAGGACACCGGTACCTACGCGGCCACTCTTCTCCATCCCTCCAGCTGCGCTCTGCGGTCCCGCTTCATGCCGTGCATCAGTGATACCCCCAGGAGAGGGGGGGGTGAGGGCTGTGCAGCACAGCAGCTGTGCTCCCCTCCCAGGAGACGGCATCCATCAACCGTCAGCACATTCACCCTCTCCTGACCTGAGGATGGCCATTCCCCGGCTGGGCCCAAGCCCAGGCAATGCCGCTTGTCAGCTGGCAGAGCGGGGCGGGAGGGCGGAGGGAGGTAGGGGAAGGATGAGATGCGGCAGAGGAGTCAGGCAGGTCCTTCCACCCGGAGGTCTGGCCGGAGGTGCTCTGGATCAGCCCAGGGTGCTCTGGCTCTGGCCAGAGGCATGGTGGGTGATTTCGATGCGTGCCGTATCGGGGCTGCTTCTATTCCTCTGTGGGCAAATTTATAAATCATGAGTCAAAAAGGCATTTGATTAATTTCAATAGAAAGGATGCGATCAGGACTGTGAGACTTCAGAGAAGATCAAAGGTTTAAATACGGTCCCCAGGAGAAACGGGAATTATTTAGGCAGGAAAAAATGAGATGAAATTAAGAAGGTATTTAGGCTGCACACGAGGAAGAAGAAAGGAAGAGAAGCGAAGCCCCTCTCCCTGGCACAGCGCTGCATGGGCGGCAGGGGCTTCCTGGGGGGCACCCAGAGCACCGGAGCGTCCTGCCAGCACCCTCCTTGCCCTGGCCACTCACCACCGCAGGGAGCTCACGCACCTCCAGCTCCACAGATCCCCCCTCTCTGATAATTGACAGCATCAACACCATTTCCCTGTAAAACTGCCACCACGGGGTAGCTCCCAGGCATCCAAAGGGAAGGAAACCTCTCGTCCTCCCTTGGTAGGGAAAATCCTGCCCGAGAGCCTTTCCATCCCACATCCCTGCCTTCGCAGGAGCACCATGCAAGCCCTGAAAGGGGCTGTCCCCATGGGGGTCGGGCTGAGAAGAGGGGACTGGTGTGAGAGCCAGCCTGAGAAATGACAAAAGGCGGGAGGGGGAAGGGAGAGAAGGGCAGAAAATAGAGAACAAAGTGCCCACGGGCGGTTTAAAGGCCCCTTCGAGTTCATACTTCCAAGGACACTGTCTCCCCCGCGGAGACTGTCTTGCAAAGACCCCCCGTCCCCTTTGGCGCGGCAAGCCGGGCTGCCGGCTCCGCATGCATCACCTCCTCCCGCTCTGCCTGCAGGATTGCAACCCGCAGCATTCACAGCTTGCTCCGTCTCTCACCACCCTCCCTTTTAGCCACGAACAAAGGCAGGAGGCTTCGCAGCAGAATGGCCCGACCAGCTGGGTAGGGTTTAACCATCGTGGCCCATATGTGCTGAAATACCCAGACATATTGGGGTTGTGTTTAAAGGAACAGTCCCAGCTTTCAGGCAGAAAGTCGTCGCTTTTCCGAAGAGAGCGTGAAGTTTTACCTCAGGCCTTTGCAAAAAGGCTGGGTGGATTTTTAGCAAAATCTCAAAAAGGCAGAATATTTAAAGCAAGAGGTATGTAAGTAAGGCTTTCAGAGTATGTAATATTCGAGGAAAATATTTTCTCCATGTTCCTAGCTAAGTCCAAAGTAGGAAGAGTGACCGGAGAAAGCAACTCCTTATTTTATCAGCCCCACGCTGTGCAGAAGCACCTCCACTACGCAGTGGCTTACGGCGGCTGAAGCATGGTTTGGATGGGAGTTGAGAGTTTGCCTTGGACCTACCATGGACAACTTCCCCGGCTCTCTCTGTGTTAAAAGCCAGAACCCTATCTTGGGTTACAAAGACGGCTTTCTTGTCAGCCCTTGCTCCAGTGAAGTTAACATAAAAGCTGCAGCTACACTGGATTAATTCCAGGCATTTGGTAACGGGAGACAAATCTCACTGATGCAAGGGGAACCTATGCTTCCTCCCAACATGTGAATCAGCCATCATTTCAGTGTGTCTGCTTATTTTGAACAACTCTTAAACTACATCTCCTTTGTGTAAGGTGTACCATTTGATACAGGTAAAAAATGAGACAGGAATGATAATGCAACATCATCTGTCACAGCCTGGGAAACCCCAACACAGGACAAACTGGGAATGAATGGAAAACCACAAATGTGTGCAGAATGGCTGTAATTCCAGGTGTAGTTAGCAAACACAGTGGTCTAAGAAGGTAAAAGAGTGGACAGCGGATATCTCAGAGGAAAGGCAGCAGCATCTTGGACTGAAAGAGGAGGAAGGGGCCGGCGCGCCCAGGTTGGGTGCTGTGCCAGGGCAGCCAGGGAGCTGCCATCCCCCGGGGCAGGCCCTTGGCTCTGTCCCCTGCCCCGTGGGGGAGCGACCCAGCAAAGCCCCATGAAGCTTTCACTCCTCAGGTGGTGGTCTTGTATGCTCAGGGTACCCCCTTGGGCACCTGTGAGAGTCCTGTGAAAAAACGAACAGCTGTTTATTTGAAAAGAGGTTCAATTTAATGAACAAGGGCTATTATACAACACTTAGGGGACACGGAAAGCAACCAACCATCCTCCATGACAGATAGCACCTACAACCCCGATGCTTTCTCACACAGTTTTAGGATATGCTCTTTCTCCCCCAGGCAGCATTCAAGGGTTAAGGATCAGGGTGGGCAATGCAGGCTGTGCTAGGGCAGGACAACCTGCCTAAGTCCTCAGTGGGCATCACGTATAATTCCATCCCCATGTATAGCCTTTTCTGTATGTGGCTGGAAAGGCTCTTTTCAGAGATCGGTACCTTCTTCTCTGTATTAGTGTATAATGGGGCAGCTGAGGCCCAGAGAGGATGAAGTGACTTGCCTCACATCACCCAACAAGATAATGACACAACCAAAATAAATGCCATGGACTCCAGAGTGCCAGGCTGGTGCCCTGCTGTTCCCTTGGCTATGCTGTCTTCTCCTCGAGGATTAAATCTCTCCTCTGGACATCTAACAGGGCACAATACCACTGCAGACTAACACGGATTGCAAGGCAAGTCACCAGTCTTCATATTACAGCAGAGCTGTGTACTTGGATGGTTTTTAGTACCCTTAGGAGATCTCCCTCTTAAAATTGCATGTGAAGACTTACCATGCTGTTCCCTGAGGTGTGGGTGATCGTAGCAGCCACTCTGGAGTGGCACCTCATCCTTAAAACACTCTCAAGAGTGAGAATCATACCGGAGACAAATATTTGATCCAAAGGCCTATGAAAGTATATGCACAAGGAACTCAGTCTGTGGAGATGACTGAATTCGAGCAATGTCTGCAGAGAAACAAGGACGTCCAAGGCTCAGCGTAAGATTCCTTAGGTCATGAACATCCTGCTAAAAGACAAAACAGGAATTTTCTTCAATTCCTGCAGCTTTCAAATATCTAGTCATATCTTCATTGAATGCAGAAGAGCCACAGATTAATACAAAAGGCTTTCTTCGACAGGAATTTATTATTGTCTTTATCAAGTCTTCATCGAGACGACCAGTGTACGTGTTTTCCCGATAGCTCCAAGGAAGTTTTTCCAGTGACGTTTCCTGAAAAGACAAAAGGTTTGCAGTGTGCCATGTTAAAAAGGACAATTGATTGCTTAGGGCCGAATCTCCCTCTTCCCCTCAGAGTACTGCACAGGATGTTTGTCACCCTTGTGACTCCATCTGGGTAGAACTGACCCATCCTGAGAGCTACGTTCCTCTTCCAAAGCCCAGATCAAATCTTTCCCTGTCACGAGACCTAGCCACTCACTCAGAGCAGACTGAACAAAACCGGAGTGTGACTATTGCCAAGAAACACTGCAGAACCTTCTCCTTTGAGAATCACTTCTCACCGTGCCTTTTCCATTCTCAAGTCCTAAATCCCAAGTCTATTCCTCTCTATTGCCTCTTCCATTCCCAAGTCTCTTTCAGGCTCATCTCCCTCAAACAAAACTGAAAGAAGCCAGCCCTGCTCCAAACACAGCTCTGATCCCATGAGAAATGTTGGATCCCATGGTGTTAGATCCAGCGGGGACTCCCCTACTGCTGTTAATTAGAAGCAGAAGGTGCTCAAATGTGGTGGTGACAGGCAGCAGAGTGAAACACTGAGACAGACAGATATATAATCCTAAAAGGGAGGATGCAGGAGTCAGTGCTGGACTACAACAAACCTGTTAAGAGAAAAGAAGAAAGGGAGAGACAATTACCGGTTACACTCCTATAAAGTGGCTGAGGGGGGTGCCTAAATCACAAGTACTTTTCTCTATACACAATCTCAACTTGCCGAGGCCGTATGTGGAACATAATGTATGAGGCAGATCCACCATGAGAGACACAAAAAATGATTCATCTGAAAAACTAAAAATGCAATGGGATTCATTCCCTTAGCATAAATAATTCTTTCTATATCCTCCCTGCAATGAATCCTCATTTCTGAGGGAAATAATTTCCAACTACCAAATCTGCATAGAACACAAGCAACTTCGGGACCAAATGGAAATGAAACAGACTGCTCAAGATATAAGACCACTGAGAGGTATGCCCTCATCCCATGGATTTGGCAAAAAAAGTAATTTTACAGAGGGAGAAGCAACTTTAAGAAGTTTAAAAATGGGTCAGCTGGGAAAAATAATTGCTGGGAAGTTGGTGCTAACATACTAGAAGAAGAGAGCTCTAGCCATGAGCAATGAATGGAAGGTAAGGACAGATTAAGGCACTGGTATTAGGAAAGAAGAAATAGTTTATTTGCTGTGAGTCTCCCAGAGTCAAGTTTTCTTTGCACAAACGTTTAGGTGCAACAACTGCCTGAAGTTGGGGGGGAATAATCAACAGTGACTATGAATCAGTGGGTCCATTCCAACAGAACAGCTACCAAGGAGGTAAAGAGGAACAAGCAGTGACGGTTGCTTCCCTGAAATTCTCCAGACTGGTAACAGTGTGAGAATATGTAGCAGATTTAAGAACAGCAGCTACTGGATCACAAAATACCCTCGATGACTGGGAAAGAATTAAGATCACACTGACGGAAAAACAGAGGAGGCAGAGGCTCATTCAGCGCCCAGAACCCTCACACAAACACACTTCATATCCATTTATTTACCTGGCTCAGGACGTAAAATATTCTGATGTTCCAGTATCGAGCCAGATCCTGGAGAAGAGGTTTCAAATAAATTTTGTCAAATGTACGGAAGCAGCCAACAAGAGTTACAAAGGTTTCATCCTCTTCATCATCTGTTATGGACTGGAGGATTGGAAGCATTGGCGCGAGGCCGGTACCAGACGCCAGCATGAGGAGTTCTCCATGCTAACAACAAAACAGAGAATTTTGAATGAGCTGTGGTGACTGGAAATGGATGTGCTCATGGTCAGTTCCTCCTTGCTGCCACACTGGTAAAGGGCTCCTCGAGAGAGAACATATCAGAAGGTCATGAACTGGCAAATTCAAATCTCAGAATGTATTTTTCTGCAAAGGATTACAGATAGCACTTTCAGGGTTTATATATCAAATCTAATAAAACTTTATTTTACCCAAATACAAACGTTTATCCTGACTTTAGCCTTGATTTCAGTTAATTTGTATTTCAGTTTCAATTCTGCAGTACACTCTGCTGACCCACTGTGTGTTGTTTTACCACTGGAAACGATCCCTGTGTTTATCTTGGATGCTGCAAAGTACAATCCTGAATGTTCTCTGGAGGAAATGGTTTCTTCTCCATCCTGATCCACGTATCTTCCTGGTGCATTATCTCACTTTTCCTCAAAGAGCTACCAGCAGGCACATAGTGCTTCCCACCTGCAAGGGGGGACATTCACTCCACTCGCAATAGGGATGTTCAGGCAGTAAGGTGCTGTGTGTAGGAGGACAAAAGGTTCCCAGCACTTTCCCCGGCTGCCAGCCAGTGCACCAATGCCAGAACTGGGACTTAAGCCCCTATTAAGCCCTCAGAGGCTGCTTGTGCTCTGTTTTGACTGGGCAGTTTATTGTGAATGGATCTGATCTGCCTGAATCTGAGTCCTATTCTACTAGCAGCAAATAGAGATAAAAGAAAATTTTACTATGAAACTAATATTCGGGACCTATAATTCCTAAATAATAAACAGTTCTTCTACAGCAAGTTGTTTTAAAGATTGCTCAGGTGCTTTGCAAACTGCATGTACATGGGTCATCCAGACAGGCCCTGAACGCAGCCACTTCTAGGCATGACTGCCATGTTCTGTCCCAAATGATTATCTGGAAGCTTTTAAGAAGAGAAGGGAACAGTAGCCTAAAACAGCAGGGAGAGTATTTCAGGAAGCAGAACACAATTGCTCTGCATGGAGCTCAGCTACTGGGATTTTACAGCCTTATTTTTGTTGGGGGGGTGGGGGTGGGGAGAAGAAATAACAAGGCTTTGGGATCTTAATGACCACTGTTTTAATTTTGCTCCTCATTTGAAAGGTCAGAATTAAGTAACCGAATTGGTATGTGTGAGAAACCTTCCCCTGAAACTGGATCTGCCTTTCTTTGCAGCGAGCCTGGTATCAGCAAGTGGGATCAACGTTTGCAGAGTGGCTGGGTGACGTGACACCTCGCTGGAGCTGCTACAGTTCAGGGGATACCCAAGAGAGAAAAAGATCAACACCTCCCCTTCGCTTGTGCTCAGTCACAAAACAGCAATGCGGTTCAAACAAGGCAAAAACCAATCCGCACTCATTGCTGATGCAAAATAAGTTCCCTTTGTTAAACACATCAGGAACTTCTAATGCAAGTGATGAATAGAGAGCCTTGCTAATATTTTCCAGGCTCCCGTCCACCTCCCTCTCCTCTTCCTTCTTAAATTTTCTGCAGTTCAATAAGGTGTACTTTCTCCAATTGACTGCTAATGCTGTAGCACTGTACAGTAACCCAGGAAGTCCCTAAAATAATCATGAAAACAGTAATCAAATTGATGTCTTCCCTTCAGAGTATTAAACAAAGCTAGCTGCCACAAGCTGAAACATCCTACGTCTCTTAGGGAACTAACCTTATTAGGTTGATATGGGAACCCTCCAAACGGCCCACGCCAAAAGACCACGTCTCCTTTTTTCCATGTTTTTATGTATTGTGACATTAGCCCAGCTTCATAGCACTAATAAAAAACATTGCACAAAAGAAAAGAATAATTATACTCTGTTGGAAAGTTTCCCAGCTTAAAGTCAATTATAAAGTTATCTACATTTAAACAAGAAGGGGGCACAAAACATTTCATGCGTTTAAAAAGAAAGAAAGATCATTCTAGTTGAAAAATAACTCAAAGTTATACCCAAAACAAAGACATTTAAATTAAATCATATTGGATCCATTCCAGCTTGACTATAATGTAAACACAACCCACTCTCATGCAGTCTGAATTTCCAAAACTGGAAAAAGCTTATCAGAGTTCTTGCTTACAAAGCACACAGAAAAGAGTGTCTTGAATGCAAAGCACAGTCCAAGCCTTCAAGTGTTCTCCAAATCTCAGAGTATGGGGTCTGGAAATGCCCTCTGGGTACTGATAGTTATATAAACACTGCATAGCTCTTGCTTTATTTCAGTCTCTCAGATGCTGTGTTGATACAATTAGCGACCCAAAGTCAGGTTTCTCATTTATAAAACTCTTGTTTTCAGAACGGGTCATCTGGATGCTAAGAGATGCCTTCACATCTTCAAAAAAATATATTAATTTGGGCCTCACGGAAGAAAAACATTAGCAAAATCTGCCTTACTTTCTACCAGGCACAAACAATATTATCTAGG